TTTTGGCATCTGGGCTCACTTTGGTTCTTTCCCCATCGAGGTGTACATCCGGCGGCTACAAAGGATCCGCAGTGCGGTGGTACGGCTGTTGGACAGGGCTCCAAAAACGGTGATCATCATCAGGACTGCAAACCCCAAAGCTTTGTGGCTGGATGTGGTGATAAACAACAGTGACTGGTTCTCGGTGCAGTGTGATAAGGTGCTAAGAGCCATATTTAAAGGACTGAATGTTCATCTGATTGATGCCTGGGAGATGGTCCTTGCTCACCACCTGCCAAACAGCCTCCACCCACAACCTCCTATTATTAAGAATATGATGGATGTTCTCTTCTCCTACACATGTCCTCAAAAAGGCAGATAGATAATAATAATAATACATTTCATTTATCAAGCAATTCAACAATTACGCCAATTGTAGTGTATATTATATTCTTTGCAAGCTCTTGCCAATCCGCGGGCCTTGAGTTTGACACCCCTGGTCTAAACAATAGATTGATGTTTTCAAATGTTTTTTTTAATAAATGAAGCTCAGCGCAAGTTCTTTCAGGAAGGCTGGGTATATATATACATTCACTCATCAGCTCATCACAGCGTTCTCTTTAACCTATTACATTTCACCTCATTCTCCATCAGCCAATCACTGTGCTGCAGCCAAACTTTAAAATAGTTATCCTCTCTCCTGCAGTCAGCTGTGACTTCAGGTTTTCATGCCGCCCGCCTCCTCCACATCCACCTCCTTTCAGAATCAAAATCGGAATACCTTTGTTAGTCCCACAAAGGGGAAATTTGAGTAGTTACAGCAGAAAAAGAGCCAGAGACAGCTTAATGTTACATATGTTACATATTTTACATGCACCTGTTGAGCCCCACGGACCCGCCAAAGGGGCCGAAACCACAACATCTGCAAGCAACAGTGTCTGAGGGCTTCTTAAGATTTAATAAACTATGAATGTTTCATATCCATGTAACGGGAAGAAACTCAGCTAACTGATGATATGAACCATTTTTAGCAAAAAAAACACAAGACTAACGCTGAGCCTCTGAATTAGCCCTGAGCGAAAAAATGCTAACGCTGTTAGCACAGAACTCACGGTATAAAACCCTTATTACTTATCGTAAATGCAAATCCAACCCATCGATTAGCATCGTGAGAAGACACAGAATCGATAGGTATCAGTATCATCACTCCATGATCAAAACTCGCGACATGAGAAACAAAAACAGACATCACAACACGTGGCATTAGGTAGACAACACGGCACATTTCTTACCTTAGCTGTTGTTCTGATCAAAAGTTGTCTTTAATGGCATTAAAACGATAAAAACGCTGCTAAAGGTTAATCCATAGGTTAATCCAATGTGTCTGTGTCACTTTGAAATGATTTCTGATAATCCATCAGCAATAAACCTAGTTTTCAGTTTTCAGATTTCAGAGCGTACGATAGGTTTTGCTTAGCCCCCACTTCTCAATAGTAACGTTGGTGTGTATGTAGACATTCCCCTTCGATTCTATTGGCTCTAACGGTTCAAAAGAGATGTCATTCATCAAAATCGACCAATGGGTTCCAGAGAAACGGCAAATACGCCCAGATCAGCCCAAATGACCCCAGAGGTGGAGTTTTCTTTGCTAAATCTCTCTAAAAAGGTCAAATGTCACTTGTTTGGCATCAATCTTGATACCAGGTACTTATTATATGTTGTACTTTGGATTCCTAAAGCTTTTAGTCTACTAACCCATCATCCAAGGGTCGTTTTCACTATAAGTAAAACATATTTTTTGGACGGACACTATAATTTACATTTTTTTACTATGTTCAATCTGAATTTACTTTAAAATAAAAAACATCTATATTGATTCTGACTTTTCTACATCCAACTCACAGGTTTATCATTGCTTTGAGAAAAAAGATTATTAATTTACCCCTTTTAGAAGGGAAGTTATTGTCATTTTTTGTGGAAATTTCATTTTCGAGACCTGAAAAACAGGCTTGGGGCCTAACAGGTTAAAAAAGTTCTAAGTTATGATATAATACAAAATATAATACTTTTTTTTCAATATCTAGACCAGGGGTGGGGAACCTTTTTCCTCTCAAGGGCCATTTCAATTTTGTCAACATCCTCCGAGGGCCGTACAGATTATTGACCTCTGCTTAAAAAATTAAAACCACAGCCCATTCATTTGGCCTTTCTTTCATGCTCTGCAAAGAAAAAGCAACCTCTTAATCCAGATATCTCACCATGACTCGCGCATGCATTCACGTGCACGGTGTGGCATGACCACCAAAACAGAAAGATATGGACACAAGATGTGTGCAAAATTATTTAGTTTCCTATCCATGTGAACATGATTTAAGTGGGAGGGGGACCCAACCTCCTCTAGGGGGGTCCGGGGGCATGCTCCCCCGGGGAGATATTTTTTTTTAATGTTGAAGTTAAAAGCATCAATCTGGTGCACTGAGAGCAACATTAGGAGATCTATGGAAACATCTCTCAACATCCATATGAAACAGAACTGTAAGCAGATTTTCTTTATGAATATTTTACAAATCACTGCTCTGTCAAACTGTATTCTTTATTTTACTGTCATATAGTATTTTATACCTGTTTACTTTATTCTCTTATTTTTTGATAACTATAATGATCATATAAAGATGTGCCTTTACCTCACTGGTTGGAGAAAAAGCTTCTTATATTCGTTAGCATAGCTAGCTAACCAGATGCTAATAACAACAAAGTTATTGACTGTATGATCAGTATGACAGATGAGCAGATCTCCACTGGGCTTTCAACTAAAGACACAGCCACGCAGAAACTGCGGCATGTGTACGGCTCCTTATGGGTACGCCGGAGCCGCATTCTGGTGCTCTCCGTCAGAACTGCACCCCTGTCAGACGAGACATATACCATGTGATGACACGTTAGGCTCGTGTTGTGTTCAAGGACCCTGACCTTGGCCAGGAAAAACAGGCACTCGTTTGTTTGTTTTTTGTTTTTTGCGTGTGTTAAAAAAAATAAAATAAAAAGATAATTAACTCGAGGGCCGTACCAAATGGTCTCGTGGGCCGTATACGGCCCGGGGGCCGGAGGTTCCCCACCCCTGGTCTAGACCCTATGTGCTCACGGCTGCATTTCACCCTTTTTATATATGATTTCAGGATCGGGTTCTAATCGCCAAAGACTTAACACTTATCATATGGCATGTGTCAATAAATGTTCTTTAAAGAAAATGAAGTCTCTCCTGATTGAACTCAAGTTGAGAGGTATAACAAATTATAATACCAGCCTTAATATTAAATTACATCCAACTTAACTTCAAAAGTCATACTGTATATTCATAAAAATATACCTCAGAAGATTTGAATGTGTTTTTTAAGGAACAGAAACCGGTTATTTTGATGAGGATGTTTATCAAAGTATTGCTGTAACACTGTTAATGTATTACATATAAACAAGATGCTGTTTTGTCATCAGAATTGGGTTCTGGTCTGGTTCAGTGTCTCTGGTTCCTCAGTGTCTCTGGTTCCTCAGTGTCTCTGGTTCCTCAGTGTCTCTGGTTCCTCAGGTCTGACAGTCTCTCCTCAGTGTCTCTGGTTCCTCTGCAGGTCTGAGAGTCTCTCCTGACGACAGAAACTGACTGCAGAACAGCTGCTGAAATCAGTTCAGTGTGTTCACCATCACACACACATCTGTCTCAAACTCAGACACAATAAATGTTTCTGATTCCATCCATATGGCTAACATCATACTTACAAATATATAAAATTTCTACATTTTCATTTGCTTGTTCTATATTTAGTTGTCTTGTGTAGGTTCAGAGAAACGTGTGATGTTCTTCGGGGTAACGGTGTGTTTCCTCTGGTCTCCTGTGGTGCCTTGTATCCTCTTTGAGCAGCGTCAGTGTTTGCTGCCATAAACTGATTCTGAATCCAGTTTGAAGCCACATGTTTACCAAATGCAGTGTGGTATGCAATAATCAGAAATACTTTCTTTGTTTTGATTCAAAAGATGACGTATTGTTTTTATAATGGTACGAAACATCTGAAAACCAATTGCCTTCTTTAGCTTCCTCTTGAATAATACTGTAATGTTATAAATATAAAACTGTGATATTTTTCTTCTAATGTTTCTGAATATTTTGAATAAAATATTTTCTAGACAGTATTCTCCGGGTGATTTAGCGTACATTATAGCTTGAGCTATAAGCTACAAGCGTGTAAACTACACAAACAACAATGCTATATTTTGTTTGGACCCACAACCTGTGAGTTTGCATTGTTATTTGTGTATTTATCAAACAATCAGCAGATCGCCTTACATGTTCCTCATCGCTGGATATTGTCTGCATTCACACACAAAATAGTCATAGACAGTATTCTCCGGGTGATTTACCGTATAGCTTGAGCTATAAGCTACAAGCTACAAGCTACCAAGCTACACAACAACGAGGCTATATATATATGGCGTAACGACCGTGCCAGCTACAATGATTTGAGCAGACTACCCATATAAGATTGCAATTGTAAACATGTTGTTGATAGCCTAATATGAACCACTATCTGTTGTTCATAGTATAGTATAGCATATTACACTGAACAACTAGCCAACGTAGATTAGCATTGTAATCCAGCTGGCAAACTGACGAACATCAAACAACTAAGTTTCAATAATATTTTGTGATTTGCACTTCATTTCGTTAGGAATGTCTCCCAGAAAGTGTTGCTTTTAGGAAATTGACTGTTTTCATCGGATACAAAATTAATTTTATGAATGTTATTTGTATCTTTCTTAGAGTACATCACAGCAGGACCCCGGTAAACACCACCGCTCCAGTACAGTCGGATGCCAAACAGACCGTACAAAGACTGTTTCTGTGGGAACTCTACAGAGGGCTGAGACACGGTCTGTGGGAACTCTACAGAGGGCTGAGACACGGTCTGTGGGAACTCTACAGAGGGCTGAGACACGGTCTGTGGGAACTCTACAGAGAGCTGAGACACGGTCTGTGGGAACTCTACAGAGGGCTGAGACACGGTCTGTGGGAACTCTACAGAGGGCTGAGACACGGTCTGTGGGAACACAGACAGTGGAATTGAAAGTGTCAGTTGCTACACAGTTGTCCCGTGGAACACTGAAGTCGGCACACGTGAGGAGCAAAGGTATAACATAACATAACACTGACATTGACTGTATTTTTCATTTGAGATACCTTAATTGTGCTTTTATTACATGTACAGCACTTTGGCTCGAACAAAATCGTTTTTAAATGTGCTCTATAAATAAAACTGTATTTGATATTATTGTTTATCACTGAAATACTGTTATGTGGACTACAGGAAATACAGTGCTTTGTGTAGTTCATTCTAAATATTTCATGAATTACTGTCAGATGTACACAAGTTGTTGGCCTTTTAAAATGTATTAGTGTATTATATAATGTACAAAGTATTTATGCATTTTTCCCTTTTATTAACAGGCATCCAGGCCACGGTTTCTTTCCAAAGTGTTTGCACTGAAACTTCCACCTACCCAGATTTCCCTTTGGCCTCTACACCAATAAAGGGCCCAGGACTGGGACCTAGGAAGAGACCTCGACTGGAGTTGGAGGAGGAACAAGGAGAGACTTCAACTGAATTTGAAGAGACTCTGGATTCGAGTTACCACCCTGATGATTCTGTACTTGCAGAAGAATCTGACGTATCGTAAGTTTGATATATTGGGCATACATTACTATTACTGTACTTCAGAGTTGAAAAAAAGAATATTGGAAATCTAACATGTATTGTTAATTTTGTTTTGTTACATTAGACTTCAGACACGATCCACGCACAGTGAAGCAAAGTACATTGTGTTTGAAAGCTGCCTCGGACAGCTGTTTGAAAAATGTCCGGTGTGTAAGAGAGACTGTGATGTCCAAAGACGAAAACTGGGGACTTTTGTGGCGTTCACACAGCGTTGTCCAAGCTGCAGTTACCTCAGACAATGGGAGAGCCAGCCCGTCGTCGGAAGTACCCCGGTTGGCAACTTACAATTATCCGCTGCTACATACTTCAGTGGTGGTTCCTTCTTCCAACTACAAAAGGTATTTTACCATCTAACATCCATAGCATATTAAAATTGACAGCAGTGGACTTTTTCAAAAACGTTTCCTCTTTTTCTATGTATTCATAGATATGCAGAGCCATGCAGCTGGAGATCTTCCAGTATGAGACCTTCAGGAGGCATGCTAGGAATTACCTGGAGCCTGCTATTATCCACAAGTGGAAGACTGATCAGCTGAAGATTTTCCAGCAACTACACCACCAGGGGGGAAATGTCACAGTTGCAGGAGATATGAGAGCAGACTCTCCAGGTAAGCAGAAACAGACAAGACAGTCTAGTGCCAGAGTTACTGGTGTATATTACAATTCATCTAAGTTATCCATTGACATTCTGTTGAAAAGCTTTGAAACCTCCTTTATTATATTATCTTCAGGGCACTCAGCGAAGTTCGGAAGCTACACACTCATGCAAGGGAAGCAATACCATTGTGGACTTCCAGCTTGTTCAGGTGTGAATCTCTTTCTGGGTGTTATCATTTTATGCTTACTGGCTGTTGATGCATGTTTCAGTGTATTTATGCCCTATTTCTTATTCACCAACAGAGCAATGAAGTAGGTGGTAGTTATCACATGGAAAAGGAGGGACTGAAAAGATGCCTAGATCATCTGGAGTCAAACAATTTGGCGGTTGAGTACATTGTGACTGACCGTCATCCACAGATCCAGAAGTTTCTGAGGGAACGCAACATAGAACAATTCTATGATGTGTGGCACTTTGAAAAAGGTATTTATCCCTATATGTTTGAATGGAAGAATACAAAATCAGAGACACTGTCCTTTGTTCAGATATTCCTTTGTTTTACTATGCAATTTATCCTGAGCTTCTAATCAGCAGCAGACATGACATCATGTCTGGATAGATTGTATTATTGAAAACTGTCTGCCAGACCACTTGATCACAGCCCCTTTTGTCATTGTAAATTCAATTTCACTCACTACTCTCAGGCGCCGTTTAGACGAGGATAAAACGGCTTGTATCTGCATAGTTTCGCGTGCGTATAGCCCTATTATTTAGACGAGGCCGATAGAAACTGACCACACAAACGATAACGGGTCCCAAGGTGGATAGATTTGCAAACAAAACGCTCTGGGGGGTCAACCGAGTCCGTTTAATCGCCTCTATACGAATATTGCCTGAAAAAATAACGACAGCCCCGCCTCTTCGCACCTCTTCCCACCTCTCCCCCGCCTCATTGCTGATTTGTTTCTACAACAACAACAACAAGAATGGCGGATCACAGGGTTGCTGTTGTGCTCCAGACGCTACTGACCATGATTAATATGTTAGTGCTACAACTACGGTGCTTCTACGACAACCACAAGCAACTAGTGGACATGAAGAACCACATACACGACATGTGGCTAAATCCACCGCGGAGAACAACCAGAAGGGCGACCAGGAGAAAGTTTTGGGTAAGACCGGGCAGAACTAGCAGTTGGTGGGACAATTTTGTCAATGGCGTTGTCGTGGACGATGAATGGAGGGAGAACTTCCGCATGTCCAAAGCCTCTGTCGTTGCCCTGACTGAAGAACTGCGCCCATATATCGAGAAGAAAACTACAAACATGAGGGCGCCAATTGATCCACTGAAAAGGGTTGCTGCGGTTCTTTATTACCTGAGCGACGAGGGAAGGCTACGGAAGACTGCTAACGCCTTCGGAGTTTCCCGCCCGTCTTTGTCCCTCATTATTAGGGAGACATGCAGAGCGATCACCATCCACCTGGGTCCAAAATACATCAAGCTGCCTTTTACTGAGCCCGAGACCGCGGATCTGGTTGAGGGGTTCCATTGTACACATGGCATTAGTGATGGGAATTATGGCTCTTTGAAGGGAGCCGGATCTTATGGCTCCGTTCCTTTCAAAGAGCCGTTCAAAAGAGCCGTTCAAAAGAGCCGTTTTTTTAAGGTTACTAGGTTTATCTGCAAAATAATCACCAGGATAATGATTGACTGTATTGCCAGACCTAATGTCAATAATCGGCATTGTAAACATGACACAAGGTGGCGCCATATCCATGTCATCATGTCAGTGAATGTACTTTGAATTTACCCTCTGTATGTGTTAAGTAAATAAAGTTGCCTTGCCTTGAATGAAATTCATGCAACTCTTAATATTAGATACTGTGTTTTTAAGTGGCGATGGAGATTATTTGTTGACCCTGCTTTAAAGGATATTTTGCCTTTACAAATGGTGCGCTTTATCACTGCCTGGGTTTTGGTTGAAGTGAATCCAAATGCTGCTGCGTTTTCGCGTTTGGCTCATTTACCATCCGAAAAACACGTTGTCTACCTGTCCTGTACCACTTGTTATGACTTCTCTCTCTCGCGTATTCCGTTAAGACCCACCCCATCTCACTCCTCGTGCTGAAACCTACCAAACAGAGTAGGGGCGGATCTTCACAGAATACGTTTGGGGAACAAAATCAAGCTTTTTAAAAGGCGAGTGGATTTTGGCAGGCAGTGAGTGCGGACCAACGATTGAACGATAACAAGAACGGCTCTCACAAAGTAGGACTCGGTTCCCCTCGTTCGTACCAAAGAGCCGTTCAAAAGAATCGGCTCGTTCGCGACCGACACATCACTACATGGCATGCCACAATGTTTAGGAGCAGTGGACGGAACCCACATCGAAATCAAGCAGCCATCTAACGACTCCACTAGTTACATCAACAGGAAAGGAAAATATTCCTTTAATGTACAGGCTGTCTGTGATTACAGGTACCGATTCATGGATGTCGTGGTAAAGTGGCCTGGGAGTGTGCATGATGCACGGGTCTTTGCTAATTCCAAGCTAAACATGTACTTAAAAACTGGAAAGATCCCTGCTCTGAAAAAACAGATTGTGGACGAAGAGGAGGCCATACCATGTATGTACATAGACTGTACATTTTTTTTAAAGGTGTTTATTAAGATGTGATAAACATTCTTTGTTACATTCCCTGTCCTCACTGTGCAGCTCCTTCAGCGACAGGCTGCTGTACAATATTCATATACCTGGCTAGGTATATGTACCTGGCTGCTAAATCTGAGGACTGTTACAGGATTTTTTGTATTATATCCTAACTGTTTTTAGTACTTTTTAATGCATGTCACATGTGTGAAACTAAGCAAATAACTATGTGATTCTCCAATGTCAAAAGTGTGAAACTAAAAATAAAATTGGCTGCAACCACTTCCAGACTTTCTTTGAACTTAATGTGCAACAAATGTCATCATCCTCATGAATGAAGTTATATGGCCCATTCTACCGAGTCAGGTTGTCCATATATATTTTGTACCGTATTTATTTACACATATAGTAAAAGAACCGTACATTTTTATATGGTATTTTCAGACTGTATTGGCCACTAGCGAAACATAGTACATACACTGTAGTAAAAAACTATTATATTAACCTGTTAAGATTGTGTTACCTTCCCTTCTCTAAATAGTATTTTAACCAATATTTGAGGATTTTCAGTAAAAGTAATATAAGCAAATGTTGAATCAAAGTTGAATTTATACAATTCATAAAAATCATAATGCAAACTTTCTTTGTGAAATGCATAATACTGATCATATTGATTCCAGAGATGAAATAGAAGGGAATGAGGCTATAATGGGTAATTTTTTTGGTATTTTGAGCAAAACACTTCATAGACATGTTTTTTATATATCTGAGACTATAATATATGCCTAACAATAGTTTGGGCTTTACCATTAAGGCCCAATGTGACATATCACAGTTCAGATATTTGACACTAGGGGGGGGTTACTTTTCATAAATGTGGTGTATTTAGTCAAAATTAGGTTTACAAGGTGAAAAGGACTTACAGCCTCCCACACACTGATATAGATATCTCACTGACTGTAATGAGGGAGAAGGAAAGAGAGTGAGGAGAGTGCTTGCGGAGTACATTGACCCTTACATGAAAGACAAGACTGTTCTTTTATTTTAATAAGGTTTTTTATTAATAACATTATTTATAAATGTGTACACAGTAAAAGGGAAAAAAATACCTTTGCTAGCTAAAAAAAAAAGGCTTAAAAAAAAAGTGATTCTCCATTTGTACAAAGTCTGGTGGAGTTAAAAATAAAAATGTTTACAGACTTCCTTTGACCAAAAAGTGCTGTGAAAAAAAAAGAAGCTCACTGCTTTACTGCTCCTCCTCATCCAGTGACCGCCTGAATGAATATGGAGGAGATTGTTGCTGTGGGGTGTGTGGTACAGAGGGGTTTAATCTTGGTGTGGCCGTGTGTGGCCTTCGGGGTGGGTATGAGGGCACCTGGAAGTGTCCATATCCACTGTTGTTAGTATGAACTTGCATGAACTGGCTCATCAGGGAAAGGCCATTCTGTACAGTCACATTAATGTTGTCCATGGTGTTGTTCATACGATCCATGCTGGCTGCGCTGCGGCTGGTTGCTTCCTCCATTAAGTCCAACATCCGGCTTTTTAATCGCAGCTCTTCCTGCACCGCATGTTCAGCTGGAAGCTTCCTCTTCATGCGGTCACTTCTGTGGCCGTCCAGCCGTGCCTATAATAAACCAGAGAAAGTTTGAATTAATACACAATAGGACCATAGCCACCAGATAACAGAACACAAAAGGCATGTTGTGAAATAGCTCTCAATACATTTTACAAATAAAACAGCTCTAAATACTTTCTAATTTTACCAAGCTTAAACCGGTTCAGTTTTTCAGTGGAAGGTACTGCATCATAGTATATAGCAAGCCCTTTAAGATTGAAATCATGAACATACCTGGAGCAGATCCCTGCGATGACTCACAACCGCAGCAGTTGGCAGTAGTGATGTGTCGGTCGCGAACGAGCCGGCTCAAAGAGCCGGCTCTTTTAAGTGAACGACGGGAGCCGGCTCGCGCCCGCGAACGAGCCGTTTTTTTTTGTTATTTTGTTGTTAAGTAATACAAGACAGAATGATATGATGATCTCCGCGCTACAGCTGCTCCGTGCATGCATGCAGTGACATGTAATATCCAAGGATTAGAGACTGTTGGATGCTGCTGTACTGAGCATTGCAATATATTTATTTTCACTATGTCATTTATTTATGATTATCCTTGGGCTCAGCAAAGATTTGATGTCAGCTGTTGCTGTCTTTTTTTCTATAGTTAATACTGAAATAGAGCCCTGCTGTTTAGTCAGGGCCTTTTCTTTAAATATAATTTTAAAATGTCGATACAGTAGCCCCTTTATTTAAATGTCTATGCTTAAGTTTTTATCTCAATCTCAATCTTTATTTATTTATATAGCACATTTAAAACAACCTTCAGTTGACCAAAGTGCTGTACAGGCAATACATATTAAATAACACAATGGGAGTACAATAATAAAACAATAATTAAAAACATGATAAAAAGCACAATAACTAGAAAAATATTTAAAAAAAACACATACAAATGTAAAAATGTAATGTTCAACTAGTATTAAAAGCCAGTGCAAAGAGGTGAGTTTTTAGCTGAGATTTAAAAAGTTCAATAGACTCAGCAGTCCGGATATGTACTGGGAGGCTGTTCCACAGTCTAGGAGCTGCAACACTGAAAGCCTTGTCACCTCGGGTTTTTTATAGGTGTTGCTATCTGCTTTGTGTAGCGTGGTTCAAGCAAGTCAGTGCATTCATTGGGTGGTATCAGAGAGATACAAGGGTCTGTAAATGCAATGAAAACTGGCCACAGCAAATAATTGATATTAAACATGTAATTTTTACTTTTGAATACTTCAGTACAAAGGATGTATTGAATAATTTAAGTGATATGTGTACACATATAAATCATGAGTCAAAACAGGGCTACATTTGATTGAATTATAAAAGGTATAATATGTAGTAAACTGAAGAGCCGTTTGGGAGCCGAAAGAGCCGGCTCTTCTTGGTGAGCCGAGCCAAATGATCCGGCTCACCAAGAAGAGCCGGAATTCCCATCACTAGTTGGCAGAGTTCCGTTGGATCTACTCGACTCTGGCAAATCCGTGGAATGCTCCAAACTCGGGGATGAACTTGGTCCGGGCGACGACTCTTCCATGTCGAACAAGTCCCCTTGTACCTGTTTTAGTTTCGCTGTAAGCTGGCCCTGTGAAATTGTGTTCTTCTCGTGAGGGAAATCTTTTTCAGTCGGGGTCCTCGGATATTGCGCCTGAAATAAGTCGGCTATCTCCGTATATTTAGGCTTGCAGGACTCCCAGTCTACATTATCCTGTATTTTTGTCGTCTTATACTCAAGTGTTACACTTAAAAGAAGTTCCACCTCGTCGTCGGACCACGAAAATAGCTCCTTTCTTGCGCGAATAACAGCCATCTTCGTTTGTTTGTTTTGTTTGTGCCTCACACACATCCGGGGGGGATCTTACTCGCTGCTTTTGGTGTATTTTGTGGCGGAAGTTACAGCGCCACTTACTGTCCCGCCATATGTACTACAGCTTTCGAGCGGTCTCGTGTGGAAGTACAGCGCCACTTACAGTCCCAGCATATGTACTACAGAGTTTCCAGCGGCCTCGTTTGAACAGACACGTTAAATGAAACAAATGCATGTGAACGGAAGACTTTTTTGAATACGAATACTGTGCATAAAACGCTAATGGCCTCGTGTGAGTGGGGCCTTAGGATAATGTGAGTACTCTTTAGAATGGGAATTTACAGTGATGTGTATATGAATATGTATGGGGGTTTCCTGGGCTGGCTATTAAATGCTTTCAGACAGAAGGGTGTGTCCCTGACCATTGTCAGGCAATTATCATATGGTTGCAATTAACATGCTGTGCTTACCCTTCTGTCTGCCCCCACCCTTCTTTCCACCACACCCTTGAATATTGTCCATCACAGCACATCATTTACACACTATGGCTTGAATATTCACTTGTGCATGTGTTTTCTTTTTATCAGGTTTGTCCAAGAAACTTGTGAAACTTTCACAGAACAAGGACTGCAAGTTGTTGAAGAGGTGGCTGCACAGCATAAAAAACCATGTATACTGGAGTGCGACGAGCACAACCTCGGGGCCGGAGAAGGTGGCAAGGTGGACGTCAGTCGTCAACCACCTACAAAACATTCACGTGCACGACGACCCCCTATTCCCCAAGTGTGAACATCCTGAAAGAGCCACAACAGATGCAAATAAATGGCTAAAACCTGGTAAGTTCAATATTTATAAAACAATTGGAAATAACAAGTGAGAAATTTAACACTTCACTTCCTTCATAATATCAACAATATTGAATGTAAATATAACATTGTTGTTATGGAAAATGATAGTTGTAATGTTCTAATGGGATGTTGATGTTTTTGTAATTTCACTCAAGATTCAATAACACTCCACAAAGTTGAGAAAATACTCAACAACACGAGAGTTCTCAAAGATGTGAAAAAGCTAAGCCATCACTACCAGACCTCATCGCTGGAGTCCTTCCACAGCTTGATTCTGCGTTTTGCCCCCAAAAATGTGGTTTTCCCCTTCATGGGAATGTTGTGCAGGTAATACACTGTATAATTTATTCTGTAGCATCTTATAACACAGTCACTGTTTAGTGGCATGAGGGTTTTATTCTGTCATAACACAAAGTGTCCCATTTTATTTTGCAATTCTATAGGTTGTGTCTAGCAGCCATGCATCACAATGAGAATGCTGACCGTGAGCAAGCCACAACAGCTGCAGGACTACCTGTGTACAAATTGGCCTATCCAAAAGCAAGGAGGGGAGAATGTACCGCAAAGCCTGTAAAGAAGGACCCTACATACAGTAAGTTGTCAAATATTTTTGTTTTTATTAAAAACATAACTTACATTTTAAATTATTATTGCACAAAGTACCAATGAACTGGCCAGATATATGGAGAACCGGGATGACTGGAAGCAACGATGGAGGGCTCGTCTGAGGACGACCTAGAGAGATAGCCACACTGAATTATATGTACAATGAAAGAATAAAAGAAAAATACAAATAATAAATTATTATATGAATGTTATATTTTTCAGTGTACGTGGGTGAGCTGATGAGGCTGGTGTTTGAGGAAGTATTTGAGGATCCAACACCCTTTGTGGAGGAGATGAATAAAATCCCCATCCCAAAGGACCTGTCTACTCAATTTGACAGGCCCTCAAAGGAGGAAGTAGTAGCCCGCCATGTCTCACGTTTTAGTCAAGGGGTGGTCGGAAGCCAACATACTGTCCTGCCAGATCAGGAAACTCCCGGCGTATCCGGCGGACAACACATGACGGGATGACCACTCTGATGCCTCATCCTAAGAAGCCCCAGCACCAGCTTACAAAGCTGCGATAGGCAAGATGCCGAAAACGCCTATAAGAGGAGGAATGGATGATAAGATATATGTGCTGTCCTGTTTTTCACCCTTACCCTCTGGCTGCTTGAAACACTGATTTTCCCCACAGGTCCATCTTATCTTATACAGTGTATATATGTATATCAATCATCATTTTGTACATTTCTAGAAATAAAGTTTGATAGAAATACTTGGTAGCCTTTCTTCCCTGAATGATGTGCTCCTAGATAGCATATCATTCATATATAGCAAACCATGATTTGATTTTTCATCAAATACAGTAGTAGTTTATTACAGGTAAAAATAACTTACACTCCTTCTGTTCTACGCCTCAAAGGTCCATAATCAAACCTATAAATGTTATGGAGGTTCTGCAGGGTGTATGGATTGAAACAGTTTGGCTCTAGTCCGGGGTGGTCAACCATGCACACAATAGGTTCTGGGACTTGCATCATTCGTGTTGCAACCTATAGGAAGATAAGATATTTGTAACATAACACGTTTAGCAATTAACTCCAAATATGGCGAGGTTTACAAAATAAACATTCAATTACTATAGAATAAATAAAAGGGCATATAATAGTCTATTGACTTGACAAGTATGTAGGCCTATGGTGTATATAATGTTGTGTGCTACTGTTGGTGTTTTTGTTGTATCTGTCACCATACTTGCCAACCTTGAGACCTCGGAAATCGGGAGCATTACTAAAAAGACGCGCTACCATGGAAACCAAACAATTGTGTAGCTGTATTACAGTCCGAGTGGAAACAGTCCAGGGTAAATCTGATTTTGTCAGAAATCGGGAGAAATATGACCCCGGGAGGAAACCGGGAGAGGGCTATGAAATCGGCAGTCTCCCGCGAAAAGTATGTCTGTTACCTTTCTAATTTCCCTGCAACAGACGTTTTCCACTTCGGTTGGCATGACTGCGCAGTTTCCACACGTGCACCTACATAACAGCAGTTGTCGGTACAGTTTGGTTTGTCAGCGAAACAAACTTTGTAGTTGTAGATAAACGATGCAGTTCTAACATTACATCTGAAATGTAAGAGCTATACAAAATTAAAACTTTCCACTGTGAAACCGCCTGCTCCAGTCTAGTTTGGGACGGTGGATCAGGTCCATCACGGTCCGTCTCACTTTCAGGATCGGACTCCGGTTCAAACATGTACGGCTCTACTGACGCCATTTGAAAACTGATGCTCAGAGCCGAAAACACAGTGTTAGACATGGGCGGAGCCTCTCTGGTGGTTGACTAATCAGAACAGAGTGGCCGAGCTGACCAATCGGAGCACACTAGGCTCACAGGGAGGGGGGGGCAGGAGCACAATCAAGCCGTTTTGCACAGAGAGTGAATACTGCTGCATACACATACTATACAGAGATGCTGTATGCGAAACCAATGTGAGTTTGGAAAATTGCACAGTATAAATCTATTTTAGTATACCTCAACAATGTAATTATGATCAGTGGAAATGGCCATGACATGGGCCCTTTAAGGGATATACACTGTGGCCCTAAAGCAACTGCTCCATTATCTGTATCAAATGCACACATTGATGTAAATAAAAATAGAAAGTACTACAAATAAACTGGAATTCATTTACATCTTAAATTGTTAATATATATACACAAAAAAAGGTTTACAAATATCCAACCTTCAAATTGGCTTTTTTAAATCAACACTGCTCTGCACACTTGCTAAAGAACATTTGTGTGGAAATCTCAATTCATTTGTAGGGCTGCGTGAGTATGGCCAAAAGTATGGGAGTAAATGTCACTGTAAACTATTTAATCATCACCAAATTCTGTGTTATTATGACCGATCATAACTCATTTACAACACATTTAGCATGGTGTACAGGGCCGGTTTTTGGCATAGGCGACATAGGTGGTCGTTTAGGGCGCCAGATCTGGGGGGGGCGCTGCGCTGGCAGCTCTGTGAGGGAAAAAAACATTTTTGACTGTTTGGGCTCATCCTAATTTTCGGCCTTGATGTAACAACATTCATAATTAAGTAAATGTAACACCCTTTTCACCCCGGTTACACTTTTCATTTGCCCTGTACGATGGGTAAGTGATGAAAGTGGGGGGTGTTGGCTTATCAGGCGCCCGCAGCTCACAGCCAAAGTGGGCGTGGGAGCGAGCGAGAGAGATAAATGCAATTCATGTAAACAAATATTTCCAAGGCACTTCTTTATAATTATTTGGATGAACAGGTTTGAAATAATTTCAATGTATACTATAGGACAGTAAACCAAAAATATCATTTAAAACTTGAGAGATAAAAAAATATGCATAAATAAATGTTAACTAGGTAAAATAAGATATGAATGAACAACAAAAATAAAATAAGTTACATTTATTTGTTATTGGCTATGGTAGGTTATTGGTTATGTTCACATATTTGGTTATTAAAATGTAAACCGATCTGGCCAGCTAAAATCTCGCCTAGGGCAGCAAATTGGTTAGAACCGGCCCTGATGGTGTAGGAAACGGGCTCCGTGTTACAAGACGGGTCGGGGGTTTGGCGGTACCGCTGCAGACTCTCTGCACACACACACACACACACACACAAACACACACACACACACACACACACACACACACACACACACACACACACGCACGCACACACACACACACACACATACACACACACGCACGCACACACACACACACCGCTGCAGACTCTCTGCACGAAGGAGCCGCGGTGCTGCAGCTCCTGTTCGGAGCCGAGACACACGTTCACTAAGCGGAAAAACTATATCCTGTCACAGAGATCTGCTATTTTAAAGTAAAGTCAACACATATTGACCCTAAATAAAGTCTATATTAAGAACGAGAGATGTTTTAGTTTAACATATGGCTTAAACCAGTGTTGTAGTCAAGTCACCAATTCACGAGTCCAAGTCACTCTCGAGTCACCACTCTTCGAGTCCGAGTCCAAGTCCGAGTCACCAAGGGAGAGTCGTAGTCGAGTCCGAGTCCAAGTCCGAGTCACCCAAGGAGTGTCCGAGTCGAGTCCGAGTCCGAGTCATCATTACCTGTGTTCGAGTCCGAGTCCAAGTCCGAGTCACCCAAGGAGTGTCCGAGTCGAGTCCGAGTCCGAGTCATCATTACCTGTGTTCGAGTCTGAGTCCAAGTCCGAGTCACCTAAGAAGAGTCCAAGTCAAGTCCGAGTCACAAGTCTTCATGTATTAATCTTCGTGGATATATGTGTTGAAATGTAGCTGCTCCTCTACATTGCTTTCATCCTGTCATGTTATACTAATCTGTCTATTGAACTGCTGTGAAGCGAGTTTGGCTACAATTCTTGTAATAGGTGCTATACAAATATAAAGCTTATTACTAATATTAATATTATTATTATTATTATATATAAATAAACTATGTTTAAAATGAGTTACCTTTTAGAGAAGTGATTATATTTGTATGCCAATATTTTCCTATGGTAAAGTTTTCGTTTTGCACTTTTATTTTGATAGTAATAAGATCGGGACTCTTATTTTGAAGGAACTTTTACCGGTTAAATCGGTTTACTGATAAAGATTTAGCCCCAGAAAGCACATGGCTACTTAGCATGCAAAATGACGTCATTCTGCATGTTAAGTAGCCGTGTGCTTTCGTGTTATCGGCTGAATCTTTATTTATTGATTAGATCACGTTACTCTGATGATAGTGTTCAAGACAGCCTATATGTCTGAACTCGATGTTTAGAGTAATGTGTTACGGAGCCTTCTCTTCAATATTGTTTCCACATAGAGCATTTTGCGCTGCTCTTTTCCAATGTCGAAGCAGAATGTGTGAAAGCATACAGCACGATGCGGGGTGTGTCTCTAGACATCTTTAGACTGGAATAGCGGGGCCCAGTACGTGAACTCGCCTCGCAGCCGGTGCACACGCCAGGATAGAGGACATCAGACTCCATAGAAAACTTGCTCGAGTCCGAGTCCGAGTCCAAGTCGGAGCGTCAATGTACAAGTCGAGTCCGAGTCATCGTGGGGGGGAAAATGTACGAGTCCGAGTCCGAGTCCAAGTCAGCGTACGCGATAATTCACGAGTCCGAGTCCGAGTCCAAGTCATCGTGTGCGAGAATTCACGAGTCCAAGTCCGAGTCGCGTCAATCAGTGCGCGAGTCCGAGTCGAGTCACGAGTCCCGAAAATCGGCACTCGAGTCCGACTCGAGTCCGAGTCCAGGACTCGAGTACTCCATCTCTGGCTTAAACAAATGACAAATGAGCGAGGGTGATGACGTCAGAGCATCAACCCGGACAGCCCCGGCCCAATTTAACCGTCAGGGTTCTCGTTTTGTGTTGATTCCTCTTCGGTGTCTCTGTGTCCTCTGCAGGTCTGAGAGTCAACATGTTCACACTTATGTATACTATTAGAAGTATTCGATGTTCTCGCGCCCAGGAGAGGAGCTTAGAATGAAGAGACTAATGGAGTCTCCGAAAAGGTTCAAATTGGTTGAGTTTAATTAAATGGCACGATGATACAACAAGCAGAGGTTAAGAGGAGAGACAGAGCAGCTGTTGCCTCGCCGGGGTGAAGGGGTGAAGGGGTGAAGTCCCGTCGTGAAGAAGAAGTAGAAGTGCTCTCCAGAGCCCCCCCACCTCTCTCTATATCTCAGTGGTGACCCCTCCTCATCGATGGTGGGCGGTGACGTAGGGAGGGAACTTCCCTCCTCTTTCTCATTGTCTTAGTTTCTCTGATTAGGTCATCTCTCTGAGAGTGAATCTTAAATGTATGTGTGATCAATAGACGCTTTTTAGGGGGTGAGGTTTTGCCTACTGTGTCTGTGTATATCTCACTGTCTTGTAGGGTGAGATGGTTTTGTATACAGTGACAGAGGGGGTATCAGCTGCTATGACAAAGCTTACTGTGCGTTTAACCTAAATTACGTCATTGAATATTGATTTTAATTTCTAACAATACATATACTGATATACTATGTAACATTTCTAAATTAAATTACTTTTGTCTTTCCTACGTTACGTATATGTTTATTTATGTAGCACATTCAAAGACAGCACATTTTGAATAAAGTGATTCACAAAGAGATCAAATAAAAGTCATGGAAAAGAAGACCTGGTCCTATGAACTCATGTACCCTTCATCGATTCCCAATGTGTTTTCTAAATGTATTATATGATATTACAACA